CTTTGCTCCAAAATATATCTGAAATGATCCATGATATTCATTATGGTGGATATCACTCAAGCTTAATGGTACAGACTGGCAAATGCCAGACAAGATATCAAACAAAGAAGTCAAAGAAAATAGCTATTTTGGACAACACTTAGCAGAAACAATTGTAGAAATTAAAGTTTAAAATGCAAAATATATGCAGTGAAAAAATACTTATTAAAGAAACGGCCCAGAACTAGCTAGTTTCACCTACCGTGTCTTTTCAGGAGCTTCATACTATATTCCCATCAATTCTCCATTGCCATCAATACAGATTAATAAAGAGGGTTCCATGAAAGCCAAAATACAGACCAGGGCCTAAGCAACTGGGCATAATATTTTTCACTACACAATACCTACTACATGCATAGATCCTTTCCAGAACAATAATAGCACCTGTTTCATACTCTCACAATCTCATTTTCCTTCATTCTTACATTTTAGCACTTTTAAAAAAAAAAATCTTGTAGGTCCTAAATCTTAACATGATGCATAATATAAAAAGAAAATCCAAAATAGACAAATCATGTGTCGAATCAACAGGGAAAAAAGGGGGGAGGTTTCACAGGGTAAAATTATGGTACCCGGCAAAAAACTCAGACGCCTTGCCAACACCATCCTTCAAACCAACACCAAAGCCAAATGCCACAGCAGTGCACACCTGCAAGAACCATTGAATACATTTATTCGAAGCTAGACAATGACGGAACCAACAGATTAAGGATGCACAAAGTCACTTACACATAAAGCAACAGTTTTAACCGATGTCTTATAATTTCCTTTAACTTTCTCCTCTGCTTTATCCACAGATGGGGGAGCAGTAGAGGTAATAAATTTGCCAACATCATCGCGTGTCTGAGAACTCGTCTTCACAGCTTCTGCAGATTTAAAGAGGAAAAAAAAAGAGAGCAAATGATACGCATAATTTATATGAACAAAGCTGGAATCCCTTAAAAAATGGTACAAAAACCTGAAGGGGATAGATCATCCTCCTGTTCAGTGCCCCTTGCACATGAAATTGGAGAATTCTGGCCACGGCGTTTGCTAATGACTGCAATTCAACATTTGAACAACGATTAAAAACTGAATTCATGCAAATGTAAAGAGAGGGAGGGAGAGAGTGGACCTGTATTGAAAGAAGGGAGATGAGGATGAGAGAATTGGACACTAGAAGTGTAATTAGCTGGCGAAACCTTGAGGGAGAGTGGAATGATGCTATTATTGTGGATTACTGAAGTTAATCTCATTGTGTTTTTTTTTTTTAGGGATTTGTAGATTAGATGGAGAATTTAGAGTTGAAATTCCAAATAAGAAAAAAGGGAATGGAACGATGAGAATGGAAGACAGACAGAGAGGGAGAGAGAGATGGCTTAGTTTATTTAACAGTCTCTTATGCGACCCAGCAGCACTAAAAGTTCCAGCTCCTTTGTTCTAGGTTTGCGACTTGCGTAACAGGCAGATCGGCAAAAGTTACCAGGCCAGCGATTCACCGTGAGTTATTAAAAAAAAATACAAAATAAAATACTATCAAAGCGTTTTAAGACAGGACGAAAAATTCTGATTATAAATTTAAAATGTGAAAAAGGAGGCTTTTATGCACGATATATGTTTGGTATTATAATAATTATTATAATTATAATTTAAAAAATATATTTTTATAAAAAAATATTTTTAGTGAAGATTAGTTTAGAAAAATATATGTTTAATTAAAACTATATTTAAAATTAGAGTTGATTAAAAAGTAGTTTAATTTATTTAGTTAAGAATACTTTTAAAATTGAAATTATAAAATAATTTTAAAAAATATATATTGATATTTATGATTTTTAATTTAAATGTTATAGATTTAACCATTGTTATTATATCATGAAATAAATAATATTTTATATAAAATATTTTTTATTATTCCATTAAACTATCTATAATTTTATCACGTATAAAATACATTCAACAATGACAACAAATTTCATAATTTTTTTAAGAGCGCAACAACATCAAATAAAATATAATCAGGAACAAGACTGAGATTGCGATCAAATTATGCAAATTTTATATCATCAAATAATTTCGATCTAATTTATGTAGTGTCATTAAATAATATTTAAAACTATTTTTTTAAATAAAATACAATTAAAATAAAAAAGATTGTTTTATTAGGTAGGACCGGTTCAATATATTTTTAGTTTTAAACTAGATCTATCCGACCGAGACAATAAAAAATGTCTCCACTATTCACTTGAACATTAGAACCATACTCCACTGTTAATGAGTAAATTCTTAACACAAAAGGCTGCAAAGATCTACTTTTTATAAACCTATGAACACCATTATAAAGGATGAGTCCTACCAAAAAACCTATAGCTTTTACTTATAGTCAAATAATAAAAATGGTAATGTAAGTGAATATTATCCATAATCATGATATTAAATAATTATTTAATGTTATTAGGATTTTTTTAATTAAATATCAAGTCAAGAATACGAGAGATAGGCACACTAAAAAAAGTCATTAGATTTTTTTATATATAAAAAAATAAAAATAAAATAAAATAATTTGCTAGGATAACCTCTCTTTTTTTATTAATATGTATTATCTATATAAAAAAAAACATTATGTTCCTTTATATTAAAATAAACATAAAAAGGATTTTTATCCGATTAAAAGTGTTTTTATCTCATTAAATCATATAGGTCAAACTAGAGATTCTCAACTCGACTTCATGGTTGGAATTGTTATTAAATTGTATAAAAATTGAGCTAATATAATTTGTTTAATTTGATGGGTTCATTCACGGTATGACCACCCTGATAAAAACTAGGTTTAATTAAAACAGGTTGTAAATGTTATTATTTTAATTTTTTAAATAAAAGTTCACATGGTGATACTTTGGGTGGACCCAGGTCTCAAGGTTTGACCCAATTGATTTGGTTATAAAAACATTTAAGAAATGCTATGTAGACCTTTAAAAAAATTCATTTGTGTTTTTAAATTTGAAAAAAATTGGACTTAAAATATAAAATCAACCTAATTTTAAAAACTTTGTTGGGACTTATTTTTCTTTCTAAGCAAGATAAAAATAAAAAAAATACATTAATGGAACTCTTATTATAAAAAAAATAATAATAATGTCATGCTAAAAACAACCTTTATATGGTTAGAATCTTTATCAATTGATAACTTTTTTTTTGTTTTACTTTTATAATTTTTTTCATTGTTTTTCAATGATTTTCTATCTTAAACCATGGATTAAAATGAAAACAAAATAAAATTTTAGATCAAAATGTTTGATCCCCAAACTAAACTGATCAAAAAGGATATTTAATAAAAACTATATGTAAAATTTATAAAAACAAAAAACTAGAGAGAAAAGTTTTTTGATAACAGGATTGTCTTTTTTAAAAAAAATTTAACTCTTTATTTTTTAATCCCATGCAAACAATAAAAATAAATAGATTTTTGCAAAATTAAAAATCAATATCTTGTCGAGACTACTGTAATAACTTGGAGTGTGGGAAGGAACAATTTTTAAGGTCGATTCTGAGTAAAAACAATGTTAAAGAATTAATTAAAATAAAATTGAAGAAAAAGAAAAGAAAAAAATGTTGCAGTGAAAATCTAAAAACATCAAAATACTTTTTAAAATGTTTTTATTTTAACATCAACGTATTAGAATAATTTTAAAATATTAAAAAAATATTAATTTAAAAAAAAAATTAAAAAAATTAAATTTACTTTTGAAACACTAAAAAAAAAAAAAGGTAAAATTAAATATCGGGAATTCAACCGAGGTTCTATATTGACTCCCAGTCAAGTTTTGTAAGTTTTTTTTCATTGATTTCACAAAATGTATAACCATTTAAGAGTTACATATTATAACATTTGGTTTTTTTCTTAGCTTCATAAATGTTAATATAACATATGTTTGACAATTTTTTTTCTTTTAATTTTATATTAGATAAAATTTTAACTGAAAGAGTTATGAGGATATAAACTTTAATATTTTGTTTTTCGTCACCGCATGAACATGTGCTCTGGGGATTGAGTCACGTGTAGGTATGTGATTTGAAAGAGGATAAATGAACAAGTTTATGACAGATGTCACTCACTTATTTGTTAATACGTTGGCCGTTGAATTTTCGGTCCATTTTTCATATGGCTGAGAATTTCTTTTAAAGAAAACGGAATATGGCAATGAAAAGGCTAAATTACATCCACTCGCTATCTTCTTCATATTTATATTTAAATACATTAATTGCCTATAATATCACGACGCATCACTATTATTAATTATTAAAAGAAACTAAAAAGAATATTGAAATTACTATAGCAAAAAACATCGCAGCCCAAAATTCATAAGTATTGTGGGTTATAACAATTAATCAAAAAATAAAAGGGGTACTAAAATTCCTATAGTAAAAAACATTGTGACTTAACAAACTTATAAACACCATCAATTATAATAGTGAATTCATAATTTTTTTTTATTTCTTTATTTTTTTTTATTTCTTTATATTTAATTGATTTAAAATTGAATTTTATAATTTGTTTTTATTATCTTTACATTGGATTCTTAAAGTGTTTGGAAAAAAAATTCAGCTCAATTCGAGAAAATCAAAATTGATATCATTGACTTGAGAAATTTAAAACGTTATGGATGAATTTGAAACTTGGCAATTCAAAGACTAATTTGAACATAACAAAAAAAACAAGAATTGTTTGCTGAAAAATTAAGTTTTGTAATTTGTTTTATTTGTTTTATACGAGGTAATTCTAGTTTTCAGATAGGAATATTAGGATAGTTCTCCCAGGCTGGCTGAATTTTTTTTTTCAATATTATCTTTTAATATTGAGTTGATTGAAAATTAAAATTCATCTTCCCTTTTTATTTTTTTTCCATAAGATTGTTATAATATCATGATTTAGTTCGTGGGTTTGATGAATTAAACTAAGTTGTTATAAGTTTTTTTGTTATTTTTTTTAATAGATTTTTTTATTTGCAATATCATCCTTTAACATTACAATAGTCTGTAATTAGACCTCGCAATTCTTTTCAATAAGGTTATCTCATTATGATGACCGATGTTGCAAGTTTGAAAGATTTACCGAAGTTATCTCAAGTTATTTTTATGGTCTTTTTTTAAAAATTGAACATTTTTATGTTCATTATCAACATTTCATCATCAAGTTGATTGAAAATTAAGTATCGTGTTTCCTTTCAATATGATTGATGTGGGATTATTTTATTCTCATAATCTTTATCGCAGCTTGTGTGGTTAACTCAAGTTAACTTGAGCTATTTTTTTTATTTTTTTATTAGATTGAATTTTTTTTAATTTCATCATTCAATATTAAATTAAGAAATTGACTCTGTAATTTTTTTTTAATTTGTTTTTTATACAATTATCACAATTTCATAATCTTGGTTAAGGATTGTGCTAGCTAACCAAAGTTGGTTTATGTCAATCAAGTTTGTTATAATCTCAATTTGTTTTTTTTTTTTAAAGATGTTATATGGTATGTCACCATCTCAATATTTAAAACATGAATTATCTAACATGCATTAGATTTAGAATTCATAAAATTTTTTTGCTTGAAAACATGTTAGCAATGCATTTATATTTTTTTATGTTTAGAAAAAAAATAATTCTATAATGTTGTAAACCACAAATCTAGTTATTAATAAAAACCAAAAAGACTAGTGAGATCATTGAACATAAAAGACATGATTCATTATGAATTGGGATATTGATTTCTTTTATCCTTCAACATTTTTTTCTTTGACCATTAAAACTTTTTTTTTATTTTGTTATTTTTCATTATGTTGTCATGGAATTGAGCTTAATAATTTATTTTGATTTCATTTCTATAAAGTTATCACGGTGTATAAAAAAAGTCACAATATTAAGTTAGTATTTGATTTTGTATTAAAAAAATTCAATTTTATTACCTATAAAAAAAATAAAAATTCAAGATCAAAATTAATACCGATGTAAAATAACCAAGGTTTTTCCCTTTTTGTCACCGTTCATCCATAGCCTTTAAAAGAAGTTTGTATATGAGATTTTTTATTTCATTTTTGATTTTTTTAATTTGAAAATTATATATGTTGTTACAAAACTTTATTTTATCCACATTTCATTCCTTAAATTTTGAAAAATGAAAGAGAAACATATTAAAAAAAAGATAAATGAGAGAGAAAAAGACTGTTTATTCATCTTTTACGAGTAAAAAATGTCAAATTTGATATTAATGTATCTTTCTTAATAAAAGTAGTATTATTGAGATATTTTTGAACTTCTATATTTTTTTAATAAAATATATCAAAGTTAAAAAGTTTTGTTGATTTATTTTTTTTATTTTTAAATTAAAGTATTTTGAGTTGAAAAATTAGTTTATTAAAGTTTTACTATTGGTTAGACTTGA